ATATGATCTATGTTTATTATGTATAGATCATCTTGCCAAAATACTTTCCTATAAAATTTAAATGCCCAACATTTGCTTGCTTTGAATAAGTAAAATAAAATATATATAATAAAAAAGTCAAGGCAATTAAATAAGATCAATCCTATATTTAGTTAATAAATAGTTAATTTGACTGACCTCTGACTGCCCAACAGAATGGAGTGAACCACTAGTGGAAGAGAAAATATTTATTATTGTGAGTGAAATGACCCCTTTAGACCCAAGCTCACGTGTAATATTTACAACATGTACAGGAATAAGCAGCATTTGCAATAGGTCACATAAGTCGCATCTATGCCTGTGGTTTGCATGATTAACAGCCAGTGCTGGAGGAAAGGGTGTTTCCCTGTGCCCATTAGTTAGATAAGGACAACTGAAAAGAAAAGGAATTCATTGCACACTTGAATGGCAAAAATCATCATCATTGGCATCCGTTCATCTTAGAGTCTATGGAGTTGCACTCTGGATAGTGGTTCTGGTGCAGCATGGGGTGTTGTTGGACAAACCAATGCGGGAAAGGCAGTAGTTCCCACGGCAATAATATGTAGAATATTACCAGCAAATATTTGATTGCCGCCCTAGCACATTCAAACCCACCTATATCTCCCATTTTCTCGTGTTTCTACGACAAGTCCACATCCTTTGTGAAACCTAGAGAAAACAGAAGGAACCACTGTCATTGTAGTTTAATTTTTCTCAAGTTGGAGTTAGTACTACTGTCAGCTTCTCACATGTGCATGTGCAAGTGTGCAGTCTCTATTACCATTAGTAGAAAACAAGGGATTTTACCTACAATACACAACTAAACACACTCAAAGACTACATATGATGTAAGAAGAATGGGTGCAAGACATTATTCATGTATTATTGTGATTATCTACATCTACATCTACATTTATTAAGTTGATAAAATCTTGGAAGACATCACATCAACTGTTCATAAGAACTAAAATAGAATATATATATGTATATCATGAATTACGTTATTTGTTAACAAAACTTTTGTCACCAGGTTTGTGAATTCCAACAGCTAAGGTAGCTGCAGTTCAAAACTATTATTAACCAGCAGTCAATTGATTCACTCCTAACCCGTATCTTAAACCAGTCTGTTAACTGCTTTTAATTGTACCTAGTAATTTAATGTATTTGATAGAAATAAATTATTTACCATTTCTTGTCATAGAAAAGCTTTCCATCTTCAGATCGTACTTCAATTGGGTATGAGACTTCGGTGTGAGGACCATTTCCTGTAGATTATTTCAAAGCATGAACATTGATATCAGTCAGACAATCATCTCTTTTATATCAACAACCATTGCAAAGGCATCCCCAAACCCATACTGAAGATTCTTCAGTTTGAATTATAATCATCAAGGAAACAATCGTTTTTTTCTTAAGCAAGCATGTCGCAGGCCAAATTTCTCTTTAAGTTAATGAATTTTTTTCCAACTATGTTAACCTGTATCAACCTGAAAATAACACTGTTATAACGGTCTATAATCCCAGATAAGAATTTCATTTTTTTTTTAAATCAAAAATCCTGACAGTTGAACTTGAATTGTTTTCTTTGATATCAATAGTGTTCAGGTCGAAACAAATTAACCACAGTTGGAAACAAATCAATTTGAAAAAAAATTGTTCTTCAATATACACAATGCCTAATTTTGATCTGAAGTTCACTTTCATTTCATGTTTAGAAATACTAACACTTAGCTAATAATAAAATCTACACTGCAATGACCATACCTGAGGAGGTCTTAATGCGGCTTGTTCCCGTTTTGTTCTGTGATTGAGCTTGAGATGATGAAACCTAGTATGTACCATTACAAACCATAAATGATGATAATACACAATAATCTTTGTGAAAATGAAGAGTGAATAATGCAATATCCATGGTAAGGAGAAGGACCACAAAGGATTACTACTGCTCCCAGACATCTGTTGAAATCCCTTTTTTTTTCAGGCCGTTTGACGCACTGTTGGTTTCAGCCGTGGATTCAAAAAAAGTGATCACGAGATGGAAAACATCTCTTGGCTAAAGTTTGCAGCACAGCTGTTGCAAATTCCTCAAAAGTAGCAAGTTCGAGACAAATCTTATCCATGCGATGGATTTTGCATCTGTCAAACTCTTGTCTGTGACATATCTTGGATTGTATCTTGCTAGAAAGCGTGAAACTCAACAAAATTGCAAACAAACCAAAACCATTTTCCCACCTCTCCAGGTAGAGACACTAATTTGTTGAGTGCTTTCAGGTCTTCCATGATCTCTTCATCGTCAAGCATATAGTTTATCTGGGGTGGGGTCAGTTAAGGTCATTATAAAGACAGAAGCCATAGTTTCACCCTACAAGACATCTCTCTGAAGTCATTGGTACTCAGTAATCCAAACTTAACTACTGGTAACTTAAATAAACCTGTGTAGATCTCCTCCACAAACAAATTGAAATGTATGTTATTCATGGTAAGGTTGATGAATCAAAAGGATATGAGAAGTTTTCCTTCTTTTCTCAGGTGCAGGTAATGGATCATTGGGTCTTCTTCTTAGCTTTCTTGTGACAGCAGGTTTCACCTCCACTGAATCTACATGAATTTAAAGCCACAAGCAATCTATCAGCCTAGTATAACTTCAGAGTCAAATTAATGTTGTGCCAGCTTAAACTGTCTGCAAATGACATTCTTGACTTGTTGCCTGTGACAATGTGGCACTGTGCATATTAATATAAAGTACAAGGTGGCTCTTTGGACAAAAATGTGGAATGTTTCATCACAATTAAAAATAAAGCATTTCAATTGAGCAGTAATTCACTAAATTATTATGCTGCATATCTTACATAAGATCATTCACACAAAAGCTATTGATCAGTACTTTTACATGGAGCAGTTTGTTACCAAGAGCAAAAGGTGTAAGATCTGGCTGTTGATGCCAGTTAAGTAAGTTTAAGTCTGCGTACTAGCCAAGTGGCCCACCAGGCCTGAACTTATCCCAGTTTCTGTAGCATGAAGTGACTGGGAACATTTCTACTCCCCCTTGGATGGGATGCTAGTCCATCACAGGGCTACCCCTACCATTAAGTTAACCGGTACCCATTTGTACACCTGGGTGGAGAGAGGCACTGTGAGAGTAAAGTGTCTTGCCCAAGAACACAGCACAATGTCCCCAGCCAGCGTTTGAACTCAGACTGCTTGAAAAAAAATATTTTTGGACCATTCCTCACCCAAATAACAATTTGTATCAAAATTTCTGTACTGACCTCCAGTTAGCTCCATAGATACTCTCTCTGTCTCTATCACCTTTTTCTTCTCTTGTAACTCATTCAGCAGTGTCTCCTTAAGTTCAATTTTCTTTTGCTGTTAGAATCGAAAATTGAAATAAAACAGCTCAATGGAGCAACATGTGCACCCCTTTCAGCTCCAAGCTTGGAATATCAATTCTCATTACCGAGTCTGATACATTTCTTTTAATCTCAGTTCTGAGAATACGGTATACATCCACACAACATCCCCTAACTGAACAGGGCTGTCATTAAGGGCCGTAACCTGTATCTGTTACAGCTGAAAATGCTTCATTTTCCCTTGACGCTGCAGGTGAAATTGCCTGTTGTTGATAAAATTTAACCACAAAGTAACACGTTTGCTACAGGTGTGGAGAACGTGACTGCAGGTGACTCAAAACTTAATGATAGCTCTGCTGATGGTGTTCCTTTTTTCTCATCAACTGTCTCCTAGACAATTCACCGCTAGTTTCAGGACAAATACTATTTTAACCACTCATGGGAATTAAGCTTACCTCATATTCCTCTTGTGCCGCCTTCTGCTCACGGATGTATTCTTTCTCAATTAGCTCAATCTAGAATGAGGACCAAAAACAGTGTTAAAAATTTCTATGGGCTATGTTTGGGTAAATGTTGATTTCAGAACAAAATGTTAATGCCCAGCATAAAAGATATAGAACAAATGAGTGGAAACGACCAGTAATTTGGGATTTGTGCTAACAAAAAGTATTCATTTTTTCATCAAAGATAAAACTTTAAACTAACCTCGTATTTCCTACAGATTTCTGCAAGTAAAAATAAAAGAAAAAAAGATCAGTGCGAATTTTCCACCCCTCGAAGTGAGTAAGTGATCAACACAGTTAACACCGGCTGCAATTTACACAAGGTAGGGTAGATAAAGGATTAAAAAAGATCGCAGCTTCAACCTCAAACCTGCATGTTACCAGTGCAATGCTATCCAAACTAAGCTATGAAGTTACACATGTTTTAAGCAACATGGTCCTGTTTGAGGGGTAAAATGATATGCGACATACAAATGACAACATATATGCCAAAGGGGTTTCATTACCTTTTTCAGCAGGAAGGCAATTGTTTTTCACAGGCAGGTAAAACTTTTTGAACTGAATTTTGTTATAAGAAAAGAGCAGGAAATTTGGCCTCATTCAGTGTCCCAGATAAGTTAGGGGTCTCAGGTCAAAAACCTGACAAGATCAGCTACATGACCCAACAAATTACAGTCAAACCAAGTGAAGCGTACCCCTCAAGATTACATTAATGAATTGATTATTTGAATCTTGAACCCGCTAATCGTTTCAAGAATGTAATAATGAATTGACTATTTGAATATTGAACTCGCTAGTCATTTCAAAAATCGATATTAAATTGATTTTTTTGAACATTAAACCCATTAGCTGAATTCTTGGAACGACTAGTGGGTTCAATTTTCCAATAATCAATCCATTATTGCATTCTTGAAATGACTAGCAGGTTCAATATTCAAATAATCAATTCATTAATGTAATCTTGAGTGGTATGCTTCACTTGGTTTGACTGTAATCACATCGCCATAATTTACTATATTTGTGTACACTACATTTTATTGGGATACCATAAAACACGAAGGGTGGCACCACTGCCTTGGTCAGGGGCACATGTTCCCCTATTTTTTTCACCTGCTGGTCTTTAGGGGTTTTCATGTCTGGCTTTGGTGAATTTAGTTTTTGAATCTTTGTAACATCTGTTGACATTAAATAAATGACACAGTGGCATGGTTGTCCATGGATCCAACACATCTAATTTAATCACAACCTGTGTCTGGATGAGTAGTGGATGCAAAATAGGTATGTGTGCATGTATGTAGCACATTCGAGTCAACCATCTGTACTGCTTGGTTGAGTAAAGGGGATGGGGAGGGGGGG